GACTAGCAGGCATGATCACGAGGGGGGAGGAGGAATATACCTTCCACTCCTCCTCCTCAAGAGCTGCGCTCCAATTCGGCGTTACAGGAAGTTGTAAACGGCTTTCACTTTTTTGTATCCATGATGCCGATAAAGAGACTTGAGCTGAATTGAAACAGACTGTCCTCGAGGTGTGCCTCGAAAAATTGGGTTTAGAAACTGCCCATAGGTGACAATAAGGCAATGATCGCTTTAGTCACTAAGAATTAAATAAAGACAATTAAACAACGAAATCGTGTACGTGTCTTCATTGCAATCATATGTAAATCGTATAGATGTCGTATAGCTGTCGTAAAGATGTCGTAAAGTTATCGTAAAATTGTCGTAAATATAACAGATTCGCTGGTCCTCCATGTTCACGTGAAGAGGATGGGCTCTACAATGTTTTATTCACGCAGGAGTATTCTTATAAGGTTTCAGCACATATATATTTTCTGAGCATTAGCGTCACACACCCTCATAGCCCACTTGTTCTATTTAACAATTATCCGTCATACATAGGTATTTAAAGGACATCACTATCATTCGAATACCAAGTTTCCGATAACGTAATAAAGTAAAACAAAAAATGAAGCTCATCAAAAATAAACCCAGCTCTATAATTTTGTTGCGAGCAGGCCGAGTGTTCGAATGAATACATTTGAAGGAACTTCAATACTCATGCCCCAGGCAGGTCTTTACTTCAGAGGCCAGAAAGTAGGCTTGTTGAGCCGTAATGATTTGCAGGAACTATGTTAAGCTAAAACAAGAACACTGCTCATTTCAAGTGTTTCGAGTCAGTCTCGCGTCACATAAAAATGGCTCAGTCATCCTCCCTACGTGTTACAAAAATGTTGGCATTTTTTGCCACGATTAATTGTAATCATTCTGTCGAGCCCTTCTCCGTGTCGCCCAAAGCAGAGCCCGACTTTGCATAGTCAAGTTCTCAAGACTGTAGCCCTTTTGCCCCGTGCGATTCAGTCTCTTACATTTATCGAACGACAGATCGCGAGTGGCTTCCTTTTCAAAACAAAGATTCATACCTGGAACCTTAACAGGGGGAGCTGGTATTCTGTGCAAAGCAGCAATGTCACTACCTGAAAGCAAGGGCACATCCAGCTTTACCGTCACTTGGCTTATCTTTCCGTGAAGGTTTTTGCTCTCTGTGTATTCCGTGTATTTCAATGTCACTTTTCATCGATTGTCACTCACGTGCATTTATATCCTGCGCCATTTCTTGCACATTCGCTTCTGTCGCATGCTTTTCGATGCCATTCACCCTATTTTACTGCGAGGCTTTATACCTCCAGCACCCGAGGAAATTCTCGTGTCATTGGCGTTGCAAGCAAAAAAACTCCCGGCGAACAACTGAAGGCAAAACAGCCTATCTTTTTTGAAATCAGGCATACAGCATGCAGCTCAGTATCTGTTTCAATAAAGAAAACCACAAAAAAACACAAAACAAGCATCAAAACCACATGATGGATGATAAGGCGCGTGTAAGCAAGAGAACACCCCCCCTTCCCCCCCCCCCCCCCCCCCCCCCGCGTTCCGGTAAATATTAGGTTTGCAGCTGCTTCGAAAAAGGTTGACGTCATGCGAAGCCCTCATGTGAAGTGCAGACTTCGGAATGGATGACAACGGTGCTTGCGAACAATGCGAAGCACGTTCCTTCACCCCGCGTGTGTTTTCGTGTCGGCGTTCTCACGGAAAAAAAAAAAAAACTTCAGAAGATTGAAGCGAAAAGTAACAAACACCACGCATAAAACATACAGCACAACATTCGTTTCAATAAAAGATAAGCAAAAAACAAGCATCCAACCATATAATGAATGATAAGGAGCTCCTGAAAACAATGCGAAGCACGTAACGCTCACTGCATACGTTCCCGGTGATGATTACTGTAGCCCAAGCTGCTGCGGCGACGGCAGCTCGCGACGTGGGGAGTGACGTCACCAGCCTTTCATATTTAAAAGAAGAACCCGCCTATACCCCGTTTCACCTTACGTCCGGACGCAGCATATGCTGCGAGCTATCTTAGCCAATCCCATTCTGTGGACATGGCCCGTGATACGCTTTCCGCGCGTCGCTGTGCCCCCTCTTTAAGGTCACGTGACACTCCCACGGCCTCCGATTGGCTCCGATGGCTCGTAACATCCGCTGCGCTTAAACGTAAGATGAAACGGAGTATGGCAATTGATTTCATATTTGGTGCAGCACCGCGATGAATAAGCCACGCAGAGGTGAGACTCCTGAGGAGCAGCGTAAATACTAGGAGCGGCAAAATGAAAAGAAACGGCAGTACGACAAGCGGCGGCGTGCTGCGACCGGCGGCGGCATTTCGTATTGTGCAGCAGGCGATCGCTGCAGGTTAGACCACAGCTCTGCTGACCAACCACCTTCACAGCGTGAATTGGAGCCCCAACCTTTTTTTTTTTTTCTTAACTCTTTTATGTCACCGTTGTGTAGGTGCCTTCTTTTTGAAGACATCATTTTATTTTGCTGACATCATTGCCACAGACTGTTCGATGGTCCAGACTGTATTTTTGAAGCCTGTGACGGACTCAAGTTTCTCCTTTATACTATACTCGGGGACAACTTTTCTTGGAAATGCAGTCAAAGGTACGGGGGCGCCTGCCCTCTCCCATTTTGAGCGCTCCCCGAAGTTGTGCGCTCGCTCTCCTCCTCTCCTTAGAAATGCCAAGAAAAGTGGTCCCCAGATATAGCGAGTATAGTGGCCGTAGGCTGTCATCTGGCTTTAGTTTCCCGCTTTGACTTCTCCTCGGCTTAGCTGTTCTACATGTCGGGCACCGCCAAACCTTCCGCCACGTTTCCCCTTTCGATTAAAAAGTTGCCTCTGACACACCGGAGCAAGTTCCCAGATGATATAAGTAGATACAGTTACAACTTAATGACTGATCCTCATCGTGACTTTCGTCATCACAGCAAACAAAAGTGTTGGCCATGGCAAAAATACGAAAACAAAATATTCCAGGAACACAAGAACAGGCAATAATTTTACAATAGAACGGCGCAGTTTTGGCAACAAAAGCAGCATGAAATAAATGTCAGTTTAGACGCGACAAAATAATTCTCCAACCATCAGTTGCTACAAACAGAGTAAGTCTTCTGCACTGTACCGCTGACGCTGCTGCTGCCAAAGTTCTGGTGTAGCTAGCTGGCACGTTGTCGCCGTGTATCCTCAGCCCCTGACGGCGCTTGGTTTCCAGACGAATTGCAGGCTTGAAGTGATCCCAGCACTCATTAGTCATGCTTGAGTGTGTGTCGTCTTGGGATTACAGTGGCTTGGCAGAAATCGCTTGTATTTGTTGCAAGCAAAGTAACTCTTCAGCCCTGTGCCACTGCCGTTGCTGCCACTTTGGCAGCCCAGCCGCTTCTGGTCGTTCTTTATAAACACTTGCTTGCTCTTTTTAAAGGCGTTAGCATTTATTGCTTTGGTGCACGCAGCCGTCTTTCCTTTGGACAATCTTCGTTTGGTTTGGACTAGTTTGGACTGGTCTGGACTGAACAGGTTTCGAGAAGCCGCGGCGCGGTGCGTGGTTCCCGCCGTGCTTTGTCGCTCTGACGAAAATAATCCCTGGCGAAGGCGAACAAGGGGGACAAAGGACAAACATAAATCTCCAAACACAGCTAGGTGACTGGTGCGCGACCGAAACAATCCGGCTGGTCTTGGTATCGAACCAGGGACCTCTCCATTTCCAGTGGAGCGCCAACTGAGCTAACCGAGAGTTAGACGTCAGTAGAGCAAACGGGTGTTTTCAGCTGCCACCAGTCTAACACAAAAAAGGGTGAACGGCTTGCATTTTTAAAGTTATGATGATAATTTAATTCAATGCAAAGGTGCAAGCGAGGAGGACAAGAATGACGAAAATAGTCCCAGAAGAAGGGGGACCAGGGGGACAAAACACAAACACAAATCTCCAAACACAGCGTGGTGGCTGGTCATACGTTGTGTCACCATGGCGGTGGCACAACGTACGCAACGTAGAACTGAAGCTCAACGACAACGTCATTTGCGCGAAACAGACGACAACCGGAAGGAAAGATTGACTCTTCGAAGACAACGGTATCTGGAGCGTAGAGTGTGGTCGAAGGAAGCTGTGGTGGCTGCATTTGAAATCTACAAGCACAAAGTTTTGTGGACCGTTGCGATGTTGAACTTCTCACCCTCGCTAAGTTGTACTCCCTGCGCTAAATGCTGAAGTATTTCGTTGAGAATCAGCGTAGTGACAGCAATAATTTCAGCAGGTTTTTTTTTTTTTGCATATCTTTTTTTGTGGTAGAAAGTACGTTTGAAGAGCGTCATATTTTATTCGATGTCTTATTTACACTTCCACCGTTCTACAGGCGCTTGATTTACTACTCACTCCTCTAGTCAACGACGATGAGGGGCAAAGAGAAAAGCATTCGATATGAGCGCGACCCATGCAGTTGCCCGTCTGGAGTCGCCACAAACTACACCCTTATCTCTTCCTCATTAGTAGGAAACTTGTGTGAAGAAAATACTTGCAGAACTGACAGCAGTGGAATAGCATCCCACGAAACATATACGAGACTTCAGCCTTCATGTTGTTTACCAAGCTCCGCTAAATCATCTATTCGACCTAAACGATCTCAACACTGTTCGCAACCACCTAAAGAGAGTCAGCACAGATTAAGGTTAAAAATATATTTAATCTGAAGTGTAACGTGTGGATCTGGATATAAGGCAGGCGAGATCGATTGAACAAAATGAATACAACACTTCCAATTTTAGGGCAGCAGAAAAAGCATGGAGTTCTTTGTCTCGCGTATAGTACACTCGCACGAAAGTTAGAAATACGCGATTTTTATTTAATTCCTTTTATGTAAATAGGCTTTTTTTAAGTTCAGGGGGTTTTCAATTGGATCTGTTAAAAGCAACATCAATGTAAAAATTTCAAGTATACTTTAATAGCCTGCCATGTAAATAGGAGTGCAGAATGCCGCAAGAATTGTTGGGTAAGTTCCTACAAACTTAGTTAACCCACTGCAAACTCCTGGCGCACAAAATAAGCAAGATTGTAAGAGACTCATAAATATCGCGGTAATGACAGATGGCGGAATGAATTTCACTGTGGGACAAATCATTACTAAACTTTCCGGGGCATCCTTACTGAGAAAAACCGTTTGAACTCCGAACAGGTTCATGCCGGTACCTGTTACACCATACCTGTAGCCGTTTCAAACCTTTGCTTAGTTGTGCATAACAAAACTGTTCAACGGCTTGAGAAAAGTGCTCACAGGTTCGGTGAAACTGTTTGAGCGCAGCGGTATACCTACCTTCACACCGCGCACAGCGACAAGGCGAAGCGACTTGAAAGTACTCATCAGTTTGGTCAAACGGTTAAGCGGTTGATTCACACCGGTTAGCAGTTTGGTTATGCCGCTGCTTCGCCGCAAGGGAAGAGAAAGAGAGGGAGCGGACACGCTCTCGGGGACTCTTCGCTGGGACTTGAAGCCGTTCGGACGTGCGACCGATGCACTTTCCCGAACACAACCGGCCGGGCTCTCGCGAAATTGCTACGAAGTAAGCCGTTCCCCTTTGTCGCCACGGTACGCCGTTTCAGCTCAAATGAACCGCAGTGGACGCTACAAGCCATGTAAGTCAACCCAGCACTGTGGATGTATCACGCGACTAAGCGTCACTGTGCCCTCCACAGGGTCAGACGTGACTCTCACGGCTTTGAATTGGCTTCGATGCCTCGTATTGTCCGATGCGGTTTCTTATAACTTGAAACAAAATATCCGCAGCTCCAACCCTCCACTCGCCCTCTCGCGGACGAACGAAGAACCAGAGGAGCGGGGACAGCGGCAGAGACGGTGGCAGGACAGTAGGTCTTGGTGCTGCTGTTATGGTTGATGTGTTCGTGCATCGTGCATTTTTCAGGGGAAAAGCGAATGCCTTAAAGGGACCATGAAATGATTTTAAAATCGAATTTCATCCACCGCACGTCGTAAAAGGTGTGAAAAGAAACACGAAAACACAAAAATAGGGAGCCAAAAAAAATTATTTGCTATAGAACTTTTAAAAGAAAACTGGACTCTTTTGCGACTTCTTTCCTTCGAAAGCTCTGCCTTTTCACTACGATGCATCTGCAGAAACGGAGCACGTCAGCCGAATCCACGTCGCCTATTGGGTAAGAGCCTACCTCACCAGCACCGCGATCGTAAACAATAAATAGCCGGCGAATGTTTCCTAAAAATTTTGTTAAATAATATCCAGATCCACATTTTGTAGCATAATTAGAGATGCGTGGCGAAAATTGCCAAATTTGATAATACTGAGAGTCAAGCGCCATCTATCGTGTGGTAAACAAAGCAGCTACTGCGCGTGCGCAGTAGGGCGGGGCCAGCGACGGACGAACGTTTATTTCCTTTGATTTCCTTCCTCTCAAAACTCTGACTGACTGAATGTTTATTTTTCTGCGTGTTCATGTCGCGCGTGCCGACTTCAAGCAGCAAGAAAAAAATGTACTTAAAACAGACCACGACGAACAAGAACGCAGGATCCACAAACACCCGAGAAGAGCGACAACAGCCGCGAATCCCGCTCCGACGAAGCTCTCAGAATATAGGCCTAGCAGGCACTCCGACTCGGGGCGGCGTTGCTTCGTCGCAAGACCGTCTGTCTGCCTACGACCGGCTGGCGTGCTGAATGGAATATGCCCGCGCTACCCTTGTGGACCCTTCCCGTATTATAGTCTGATCGCTGACCTCAATTTTAGCTTAAGAGGTGAGGTCAATCTCTTCCCCTTGTTTTCCGAGGCAGTGTTGACGAACACTCGTCGAAAAGGGACCTTCGTCGATTCTCTCTTCTTGTTTTGTGTGATATAGAGCTGAAATAAACGGTGTATGGATTACCTTCGTAACACGGTATGTACACTTTGTTATTGGTATGCCATTTTTATTCTGACAGACTGCACGTCACTGTCGAGCTATAACAGTTCGTGGGAGGTATACGTGCAATGCCGGTCTAACCTTTCTTTGCCGAGTGTCGCGTCAGTATCGAGTTGCAATCGTAAAAGATCGGTCCCGAAGCGCTTACCAACAGCGCGAATACAGCACTTCCATCAAACGCGCGCATCCGCCCCGAGTGTGAACAGGTATTTACGTGGCTCTTGCTGACACTCGTAGTTCAAACGTATCTTTTTTAACGTCGGCTCGCTCCTGCATCTCCGAGACCGCGAAAAACGCCGCGGCAATTTGTTTCCGTCTACGTCGCTTTGCAAACGACTGACACTGGCCGCCTTTTACCAACAATGACAGTTGGGTTGACTTCTGGAGTCTTCACCGGAAGACTCGCTGCACTTCCCAACAGGCATACCGGCGTATGGGACTAGTCCCGTGCTGTCGCTGTAGCGCAACGTATCTCATTGAATTTCGCTCAGCTGCGATGCGGCGATGAGAGGCGCCGATTTAGAAAATACGTCGGTGACATCGGCGCAGTAAAACCTACCGGCGCACCCCAACTCGTCGCCGCTAACGCTCCCATCTCCTACTGCCGAGAGAACTTCCGGTTCTGGAAACAGCGTACGTCACGGCTTCTTTCGCGGTCAAGAAAAAGTCGATATTTCATTAATTTTTTGAGTAGAAGTTAATAAACCGAGGCGAAAACGGATGCCTGTTAGGCATTCAGTGAACATTAACGGTTTAATTTAAAAGTTATCTGGAAAAAGTAAAAAAAGTCATTTCATCGTCCCTTTAATATACACATTTTTGTCGTCCGTCTTTGTCTTCACTGCACTCGTCGAAGACATTCGCATGAGAAAGCCAAACGCCAGATGCCGGGGACTCGAGTTCTAACGCATTCGACTAGTGCAGTAGAGACAAAGGCAGCTTGCCCACTAATCATTCCAATCAGAACTCGGTGTTCTCACCACCCCGCTCAATAGTCTCCTCCTCCTCTCTCTCTGTTTCTCGGTGCAGGAATACCTCAGGTTTTCCGTCTCCACTTGTTTGTCTCCGCGTGTTCACTTCCGGGTCATTCCGTGCCAAAGGAGACCAGGCAATTATTTCAGGTCTGGAATATCTACGAAAAAATTAATTTGGATAAAGAGGCCGCTAAAATGTCAGAAAGGTATGTTTTTTGTGAAAAGGTGAATTTATGTTTTTGCTGATGTCATGCTCTAAACTTTAAGTTTTAATAAAACCCGTGCATTTAAGAAACACATCGTGAAAAAACTGTTGGGTGCAACGCATATTTGGGTGGTCGCCTAATTACTTAAGACCATGCCCTATCTAAAAGTAAAGTACAACTATTGAAAGACGCCATTTTGAGTCTAAATAGGAGCTCCAAGGAGAAGAAACGTTATCACATTTCTTTATTTTTTAAGTCAACTTGGAGTTGTGTGCTGCCTACAATATTTTTTCCGTTTGTTCTCATAAAACTAATAGTTGCATTGCAAGTGCTAAATATTTATAATATTGTCTTGTTGCGTTTTAATTAAATGACGAATTCTCCAGTTTATGCAGAAACGGTCTTATTGAGAGCCAGAAAAAGGAATGTGGACAGCACTGCCCGCAACTTTCGAAATAGCCAAAAGTTCAATCCACCTAATCTCTTCAACATATAAAAAAACTAGACGTACTTTTCGTTTTTGCTGTGAGAGAATATTTTTTTAAATATGAGCCTTTCCGGCCGTGCCTCTAGGCGCCCGCCTCGTAGGCGACGAACACTGGCTTCCGCCAGCGAACCGTCGTCGGTGTGAAACGCCACCGCAAGGTTTTCGATGCTGTCTTGAAAACACATTTTATCCAGTTGAAATGGACGTTATCCTGACTCCCATGCACTCGAATCCTTTTTCCGTTGCGTAATGATACTGAAGCCTTAATTTTACTCTACTTCTGGCCAGGTAACTGCCGACGGACGCAGGTCTCCATCGTCTGCTCACGTTGCTTTTTCTTGCTCTCAATAAGGCCATCTCCGTATAAACTGAAGAATTGGTCATTTAATTAAAACGCAAAAAAAAAAGGTTTTAAGTATTTTAAACACAAAATTTACGTATTAGTTCAATGAGAACATATTAAAATATTATATATGACACCCAATTCCAAGTTGACTAAAAACAGAAATCTTATAACCTCTTCTATTTGGAGCTCCTATTTGGACTCAAAGTGGCGGCTTTCAATGTTTGTATTTTACTGTAAGATAGGGCATGTTACTAAGTAATTTAGCGTCCACCTAAATTTGCGCAGCATCCAACTGTTCTTTCACAATTTTGTTTTCTTAACTACACGGGTTCTGTGCCAATTACATAACTTTAGAGCATGATATTCTCACGGGTGGTGACCACAAAAACAGGCCATAAACAGGAAGAAATAAACGTTTAATGTGGCGAACTTGTGCCAAAAATAAAAGGGTACAAAGATAATAAGAGAGCGTCGCGGACGTCGAAGTCGGCGTAGCAGCACAGTCGAACGGTGGGGCGAAAACTGAACTCGCTCGCCTGGCGGAATCCCTTATGTGCCCTCGTGGGTTTCTGGATCGTTCGGCGTAGAAGGTTCGGCCCGTAGAACATTCTAACCTCGAATCAGCAAGACGGTTCTCGAATTCACCAGAACATCACATTACAGTGTCAATAAAAGTGTGTAGCCGCGGCCAGGATTCGAACCCTGGCCTTCCGCGTGGAAGACAAGCGCGATAACAGTTAGGCCACGCGCGCGCTGCCTACTTGACCAGCTGCGCGCGCGGCATCGTCCCGATGCAACCCAAAAACAAAACAAAGCAAATAAAAAGAACGGTAAACGAAAGAGTCATTTGGAACACATGAGGTCCACAGTCCTATCGAGCGTAGTACGACTTCAGTCGCACGAAGTGGACGACTTCCGGTCGTGGAGGGCGGCGTGACGAAGTTCGTGTTCCGTCAGGCATCACCTCGTAGTTCAGAACCCCGAGTCGACGAAGCACTTTGTAGGGTCCAAAGTAGCGCTTCAGGAGTTTCTCGCTGAGACCACGGCGG